CACACGCCCACACGCCCACACGCACAAACACACACATTCCAGCCCTCTTGGCTCCCCAGTCGCGTTGCTGAGCCATTCCTCACGTCGGCTTGTGCGTTGAATTGGCCGCCGTGCTGTTCCGCCGACGATGTCATCTTCGATCGACAAAAGACTGTCGCAAGCACCTGGCCCAGCTGAGAGCTGGCAGGATGTACATGTTTCAGACTTGGCGTCCAAGATCGCTTCGACAGGAACAAAAAGGCGATGTGTTCACACGGTGCTTCGTGCTGGCGAGCTCGCGCAGGAGCTTCGTTTTCCCTTGTTCGAAGCGATGCAGAATCTCGCAGCAGACCGGTACCCGGGTGATAGACAGGCAGTGGCCAACATTGAAAAAATCACTCCCAGCGCTTTGAACAAACGACTGAGAGATGGGATCAATGCGTAATCTGGAAAATGCTTTGAACGGGTGTTGGCGTTGCGATGCTAAATGCAGAGATTTGAAACCGCTCACGAACCAATGAGTTTTTGTCCTCAGAGCTTTGAAGCCGCTCGCGAACAAGTGAGTTTCTGCAGTGTCCGGACAAACCTTCGTCTTCCAAATCCCTGACTCCTAAACCCTAAGGCCCTAAGCCTTGAAGTCGGACCGCGCAGTCTGGCACTGCTGTGCTTGAACACGCACAGATCGGCGTGTCTGACAGGCACATATCGGTCTTCGGCTCACAGCGCAAAGACCTGAACTGAGACTTTTTTTCCCCGCCGGGAGCCTGTAGCAACACTGTAGTATGTTTCAGAGGTTCTCATCCTTGCCTTTTCGGGGTCAGTTGCAGGCAAGGTTTATTCGGATTAGCAAGAAACCGGGCTGTCGGCAATCCTTAGCATGATTGCCGTAGTTCTCTTGCATCAGGAAACGGGCTATACGCAATACTGACTGAGGACGACTATCTTTGTTCCAATGGGTTCTAGGCAAGGTTCACTATATTTAGTACCAAGCGCACTACAGGCAATATTCAATCATGGTTATCTATTTTCTCATGTGCGCAGGGTGCAGGTTCAGGGGGTTTGTGCTTGGTTCTCTAGAAACTCGAGCCTGAAACCCATAACACACTAAATAAATTGTCACGCAAGCTCGCAAACACACAAAAGGTGAAGAACATGACTGGTTCAAGCTCTTGCGCAACACCGCTTTTTCGTAGACATCGTGCAAAACCCGGCAATAAGCTGATTCCAACTTTTCAGAACAACCGTGACCTAGCTACCAGCATCGCTACATCGACGGCAACAACTGTGCTGATGCTTCTGAAAAGCAAGGACGGATGTTCGACGTGAGAGCTCCTTCTGAGTATCCCTGGGACGTCAAACCCTGAAGGTCTGAGGTGCTCCCCTGCACAACCCAGACCCCTGCCAGGGGCAATCGTGACCCGCCCGACATAGGTATTGAATTCGCACATAAATCATGACAGATCGTGTTTTCGCTCCTTTCGCGGCGGCCATCCAAGCTGGTTTGGGGGAGGGAGGGGGGGATAGGTCGCCATCGCAGTCCCCAAATGACCCAAGCGGTCGGTTCTTTTGGAGAACAACGCTGCTCTACAAAAAGAAGGGTCTCCAAACCCCAACAAACGTCTTGCGGAACAACTTTGAAGGCCCTCAGCTTGGGTCAGCCATCCTGGTCTTGGAATCCGTAACGATCTTCATACACCCTTCCCGATCTGTGGGGAATGGGTCGCATCCGTGGAATGACCCCTGGGTGTTGCCGTTCCCTTCAATGCCACCGGCTTGGCGGTTCCCATTCACGCCTCAACCCCATGCAACCCCTTGTCAGAGCCAGGTCCAGGCCCAGGCTAACCCCGAACAATCAAACTATCGCCCAGTGATGATCTGGATGTGCCTCAAACCCAGTTCGCTGAAGGTCGATATGACCAACCGGATTGCCGTCGGTTCCCAACGTCGCCAAGAAGATCCTAAACTCAAAGTATCATTCATCGAGCCAGTATGTTTCGGCTTCGGGGCCAGAACTCTGCCTGCAAAAAAAGTGCTCCGGCATTTTGACCCGCGACATGCAAGAACATGCTATCCAGACCCATCGAAAAGGTCTGGACTGCACGTTCCCGAGGCAGATCGCCCAGACTTGACCGGATTGCCGAAGATTGTAGCTAGTGGCTACGACGAGAGAAGTCGCACCAAAAAACCCAAGTCCTGCGACCGAGCCTTAAGCACAAGCTAGAATCCTCCTTCCGCAACAATCTCCAAGTCGGAATCCTCTTCTGGTCGTGAATGCTCGCAGTAGTTGCGATCATGAACCGCTTCGCACAGCCGTTGCTGTTCACCTTCATTTGTCCTCGGGTATCCTGCTAGTATCAAGAAACTAATCGTAAAGCACTGCAGCCGGAGGTCTACCTGCAGCCTGGCTCGGCCGTCTTCTCGAGCACTTGGTACGCTGGCCTGCCTGCACAGACGCCGGCAGCAAGCTGCGCGTCCCCGCACGAGGGCTCAGTGGCGGGAGGGTGTAGGGTTTGTCGTGATTTAGCCTTCAGGATAGTGCAGCGTTTAAGGTGTTCGAGGGTGAGCCTACAGAATTTAGGATTTAGGTGCAGGAGGTTGGCAACTTTGCTAGTGTTGGTGCGGGGTGTTCCTTTATGCAATGGTCAGGGCTTCGGGGTGCAGGGATGGTTTTGGGTTTGGTGTCTGGGGCCTTTCACCAGACCGTCTGCGAATGACATTCTGCATAGTGTAGGCTTTCTTCTGAACCTGCTGCCGATGAGAGTCCCTCATCTTGACATACCCCTAGAGTGAATCCCTCGACGGCGGCGCTGTAGAAGCTTGTTCGCCATTTCCTACGGCTTCAGGGTTTCGCGTTTCAATTTTTGAGTTTTGAGTTTCAGGAAGTTTCAGGGAGTTTTGTGCTTTGGATTTGGGGCTTCTACCCCAAACCCCAAAGTCCGCCTCCTGAGGTGCTGCATGGCTGGGGCCTTCACACCGACCTACCCTGCGGGTGCAGCTTGCCCCTACGTCTCCAAGACACCGCCGACCACGACGATGCTTGGATTTCTGTTGAGAAGAGGTTTCGCAGTAGACTGAACAAGCTAGCTAGATCTTTCACCCTGCCCTCCACACTCGAAACCTTGCGTGGCACGTCCAGCCTGCAACATAGCCAAACAACGGCAATCGGCAGAGGACGACTACCACCACCACGACGACGACGACACAAGCTGCCGCCGCAATGTTTTCGCCTCCTGCCTTCGGCTTTGGTGGCGGCTTCTCCTTTGGTGGCGGAACCTTCAGGAGGTAGGTGCTCGGCACGGTGCTCGTGCTCTGAGCTCCGACGGTCCCAAGCCCTTTGTGCAGGTTTGGAGTTTAACTCTAGGGTGCAGGCTGCTCTCAGTTGGCGCGTGCTCTCTTGGTCTGCTGTATCTTTTCACCGGAATTACCTTCCAGAAAGATTATGGTAGTGACTCTGGTAGTACCATCGCCAACTGACATTCTGCCCGCCAGCATATTTTCCATGGCATCGGTCTGGATGCTCATGGCGTACGAGACCACACGGAACTGGGTTACTGATACCAGTAGGACAGGTGAATCTCTCGGATTGAGGGCTTCAGAATCAGGATGCAAAGCACGGGGCCTGGTTCCAGACGCGTTTCGCATGCAGATATCCTTGGTTTGCTGAGCCAAGGTCGTGCTAACTAGCTTGCGGAGAAAGTCTTTGCATATACCGAACACAGTCAAGCAGAATGTGTACGTATGATGATCTATACATACGATGTATATATATATATATGTATATGCTACCCCCCCTCAAGGATGCACCGTCTTCGCTGTTTCAGAAGACTGGATCAACCATTTTAGCTGTTTCAGAAGACTGTGAAGCAAAAGAAGCAGTTATGAAATGTGCAGTAAACGAGTGTGATGCATGCTGACTGCCACTACTACTGCTACTACTACTACCACCACTACTACTACTACCACCATCACTTATAGTACAAAGGCTAATACAGTAATCTCATTCATGTTCACATTAATATTAGTATGATACGAATACTAGTCAGTAGCATATATCTGTATACACACATATACCGCTGCATA